AAGAACGTAGACCTGAAAAAAATGATGCAGAAAAGAAACCCAATGATGGTGCCGGGCAGGCTAAAAGGCAAACCTCCTATTCAGTGCTTTGGCGTCCTCTCTGTACTTCTTACTCATACCGGACAAATCTGAGGCCTTGGCTTCCAAGACTAAAACGTAAATCATTAATTCTGCTTTTTTTTGAATGTGTCTTTTACTATTTTACAATTCTAAAAAACTCAGAAATTGCACGTATTAATTCAATTCTTATAGAAACATACTATTTAATGCTTCTCCGCGATGAATCACATCCTCAATATTGCTCACCATGATGCGGGCGACATCTTGCAACTCATTCGATACAGCAGACATAGCGTACCTTCAGTGAACATTACTTGGTTCTCATATTCGAAATTAAAATGAATCTATATTTTACTGGTTTTTCGATCTTTAGGATAATGCGAGAAGTGAATCTCAGGCCGTTGTCAGAGTCCGCGATCCGTCGCGCGATTCGCGCGACGGATTGCTGACTTTGACACCAGCCTCACGGCCGAGCCGGACAACGAGATGGACATATGAAGGGTCAAAAAGTATCATTCAGATGTTTTGTATTGACTTTGACGTTTAGTCATCCTTTGCATTTATTTCAGATGGGTGGAGAAATGCTAACTATGAAGGAAGTTTTTGGAAAATGATACAGGTAAACCAAAGAGAAAAGAGAAGAATCCGGAGAGAAGTGCGAAGAAGGTATGCAGATGTAGATATACAATATATCAATCAGATGTGGTGGCAACCAGATCGAAGGGAAAAGGAGAGTTTTGTGGGGAAGATGCAAATACAGAAGAAGGAAGAGGAGTGCGGGACGCTAACATGCAAGGAAATGAGGAAGATCTCGCAAGAGGCATGTGGAAGAAAACAGGTACTGGTGTTGTTTCCAAAACCACACTTTCAAAAGCGAATTGCGACATACCTGTTCCTATCGACGTATTTCTTCTTGGCCTGTTGTATGTACTGGTCTGGAAAAGCAAGATTTGGTGATCATTAAAATTTGGTTGTTACTTACATGTACATATCTTGTCGAATATATCGGAAAAATCAATGAAAGGAAATTGAATCTCAATAAAATATGACTTACCGAATTCAAGGAAATGGTACGGTCGAGCTACTTGGTCAATTCTTGTGGCATGCTGATTCAAAAATTCTTGAGAAACATCTTCAAGGTAGGCAAAAGCAAGTTTCCGTGGAAAGGCGTGTTGGCATAAACATAAGCAGCATATGGACTGCTTGATGACGTAGCTGTAAACAACAGATCAGTCGTTGCACAACGCATGGAAACCATGAAATGAATTCTGAATTCACTTCTCTCTGAGACTGCTAAAGCACAGTTGTGATTTTTACCATATAAC